AATTGGTTCATTCTGACGTATGGCAAGCACCAGTTACATCCCTATGTGGAGCAAAATATTTTGTCTCATTTATTGATGACTACTCCAGGAGATGTTGGGCGTACCCTATTAAAAAGAAGTCAGACGTGTTTTCAACTTTCAAAAACTTCAAAGCGCGAGTGGAACTTGATTCTGGAAATAAGATCAAGTGTTTCAAAAAAGATAATGGAGAAGAGTACAAAAGTGAAGAATTTGATGACTTTTACAGGAAAGAAGGCATCAAAAGACTGTTCACAGTGGCGAACACTCCTCAACAAACTGGAGTGACAGAGCGGATGAACAGAACCTTGTTAGAAAGAAAGAGCAATGTTGAGGGTTGCAGGCCTAGAAAAATCATTTTGGGCAGAAGCAGTTAATACCGCCTGTTATTTGGTGAATCGAGCTTCATCAACTGCAATAGAGCTGAAGACACCAATGGAGATGTGGACTGGTAAACCAACTAATTATTCAAACCTCCATGTATTTGGAAGTATTGTGTACGTGATGTACAACTCCCAAGAAATTTCAAAGTTGGATCCAAAATCCAGGAAATGCAAATTCTTGGGGTATGCTGATGGAATAAAGGGGTATCGCTTGTGGGATCTCACTTCCCGCAAAGTGATCATTAGCAGGGATGTTATCTTTGTAGAAGATAAACTACAAAGAAAAGAAGATGATGATAGTGCTAAAAAGTCAGAGACTACATAGATACATGTGAAAAAGGAGTTTGAACAAGGAGATTCTTCTGAAGCAGAAGCAGCACATGATGAACAAGAACCAGAGAGTTCTGAAGCTCCAACAACTCGTCAATCAGATCATGTGAGAAGACGTCCCAATTGGCACTCAGATTATGTTATAGAAGAAAATATTGCATATTGCCTTTTAACAGAGGACGGTGAGCCATCAACATACCAGAAGGTAATAAACAGCTCATATGCTTCACTGTGGATGATGGCAATGCAAGAAGAAATTGAAGCCCTTCATAAAAATAATACATGGGACCTTGTGTCACTACCACAAGGAAGGAAGCCAATTGGTAACAAATGAGTCTTCAAAATCAAGCGAAATGGTAACGATCAAGTTGAGAGGTATTGTGCAAGACTGGTGGTCAAAGGATATGCTCAAAAAGAATGTATTGATTTCAATGAAATCTTTTCTCCTGTGGTTCGACCAACAATAGTTCGAGTAGTCTTGGCAATGTGTGCTACATTGAACTTACATCTAGAGTAGCTAGATGTTAAAACAACTTTTCTTCATGGAAATCTTGAAGAAGAAATTTGCATACTCCAGCCTGAAGGTTTTGAAGAAGAAGAGAAGAAGAACTTGGTTTGCAGGTTGAACAAATCTTTGTACGGTCTAAAACAGGCGCCGATGTGTTGGTATAAGAGATTTGATTCATTCATTATGTGCCTTGGATACAACAGACTTAACGCAGACCCTTGTGCTTATTTCAAGAGGTTTGGTGATAACGATTTGTTATATTGCTGTTGTATGTGGATGATATGTTAGTTGCAGGACCCAACAAAGATCATATTGAAGAATTGAAGGCACAACTGGCTAGAGAATTTGAAATGAAGGACTTGGGATCAACAAACAAGATTCTAGGGATACAAATTCACCGAGACAGAAGTAATAGGAAGATTTGGCTTTCACAAAAGAATTACTTGAAGAAGATCTTGTCACGCTTCAACATGCAAGATTGTAAGCCAATTTCTACCCCTCTTCCTATTAACTTCAAATTATCCTCCGGTATGAGTCCTAGCAGTGAAAAAGTGAGGATGGAGATGTCTCGAGTATCGTATGTATCGGCAGTGGGAAGTTTAATGTTCGCTATGATATGCATAAGACCAGACGTTGCACAAGCAGTGGGAATTGTTAGTCGATACATGGAGAATCCAGGCAAAGAGCATTGGAATACAATAAAGAGGATCCTGAGATACATCAAAGGGACCTCAAATGTTGCGTTACGAAGGATCAAACTTACTTATCAATGGGTGTCGATTCTGACTATGCAGGGGATTTGAATAAAAGCAAATCTACTACAAGATATGTGTTCAAAATTGCTAGTAGAGTTGTAAATTGGGTTTCAAAATTGCAGTCAGTTGTGGCTACATCCACAATAGAGGCAGAATATGCAGCAGCTACACAAGCCAGTAAAGAAACAATTTGGTTGAAGATGCTATTGGAGGAGCTTGGGCACAATCAAGAGTATGTCTCTCTGTTTTGTGACAGTCAAAGCGCCTTGCATCTAGCAAGGAATCCAATATTTCATTCAAGGACAAAACATATACGAGTTCAATACCATTTCATTCGTGAAAAGGTGGAAGAAGGGACGGTAGATATGCAGAAGATCCATACCAAAGACAACATAGCAGATTTCATGACGAAGGCGATCAATGTTGATAAATTTACTTAGTTTCGATCCTCTTGTGGCCTGTCAGAAACGTAAGCAACATGAAGGTACAAGGTAGAAAGAATGGTGTGAAGATATGATTGTTCCAATCAAATCTTCAAGTGGGAGATTGTTGAAAGTCAATTCGGTGCGTTAATGCACCGAATGGTGCATTTGTCAAACCCAATAATCACGGCAGCTTTTGTTGAAATTGGGTAATGGTAAAATTGCTAAATTAGTCCTTGTACTTTAGGGTATTTACAAGATCAGTCCTTAATCTTCAACTATAAATAACTTAACCCATTGAGTTTCATAACCATCCCAAATCATTCTAGCTTTCTCTCAATACTAGATAATTTAGAGAGTTTTCTTGAGAGTTGTTCTCCTTTTTATCAAGAGAGAATTGTTATTGTTTTCTCCTTGTAGATCGAGTGAAGTTATAATTCCTATTTTCTCATAGTGAATTTCTTCTACCGTTGCCCGTGGTTTTTATCCTATATTATTTAGGGGTTTTCCACGTAAAGTTGTGTCTTCTTTATCTTCATTTTTATTTTCTCAAATTATCAGTTGCGATTTTGCTCTATCCGATAGTTGTATTCCGCAACAGAAAGTCGACAAAGGACTTAGGATTGTTAACTGTAAGAATGAGGACGAGCAGAGATTTATTGAGCTCCGTTCAATGGGTTGCCATCGAAGATACCTTTGACCCAGACACAAACAGAGTTTCCGATTATATTCCATTGACTTTTGAAAGAAAATAACATGCATGCCATCATTCCCTAGAGACTTAAGGGGTTCATTTCGAATAGAGCATTTCTAATTTCCTCATATGACACAGTAGCATTCAAGAGCTGGAATTTTGAATTCACCATCACTCATATGGAGAGCTTGAATCCGATTAGTTTTACGGCAAAGGAACACACGATTGTGGAAGAACTTGATGTTGCGATCTCCCTTTGAAAGTCAAGCGTCACTCGGTTTTTGTTTCCACGAAAGCTCTTCCTAGTCGAGCATTTTCTCGGCTCTGTCTTGGAGATAATCATTCCCATGCTTGTCCATTCTGCTTGGACAGCCGTGAGTTGTTTCTTGAGCTTTTATTTTCCTGAACAATGTGACCAAAATATTTTTATTCTAAATTTGAAGGGAGATAGATTACTCCCCATATTTTCTATTTGGCTCGTCATAATTTATTTTGGACCATGCGATATTTTTATAAGGTAAAATATGATGAACCATTGATAAATGAAAGTTGTCATAATTAACATTCAATATATTGATGAAAACATGATCCTAGTCCATTGTGTATGCCATGAATAATTAATTGATAATATCATGTATTTTATTTTTAAGATATTGGCAGTATAGTAGTATCTTGCTTCATAATAATTAACCTGAGATGGACGGTATCATGTTAGGGTTTTAAATTTAGTTCTTTATTCCAATTTTTGAATATAATGTCTCTTGTTTACGTAAATTCACCGGACCGAACAATGAGTATTATATAAACAATCAAAATTATATTATATATGCATTACTTATAATTAGTTATACGAATTAAAAATTATAAGCATGAATTAATTTTATTATAATTATTAATATTTTGATGTTATAAATATTATAAATTAATGAATTTTTATATACATTTTTCGTTGTAAAACCCAAAAAATGAACATGTGAATAAATTATTAAAAATATTATCAACAAATCCAAAATTCATTCCAAACAAACCTACCCGACAAACCGCAAACGATGAAACTAACAAATTACAATCTCGTACCCATTCCGGGAATCAAAGCAACGCTTGATTAATGCGTTCACTAGATTGAAAATAGTGCAAATGAGTCAATATGTTAACTTTGAACTAATTAAACAATGTACTACTAAAACTAACACTAAGGCATCAAGGTAGGTTAAAAGTTGATCTTTATATAAACAAAAATGAGTCTAGATGAAAGTTGTAGCAAGACCAGGCTTGTACTTCTACTTTTATTTTACATTTTATGATTTTAAAATAAATTATTGGGAATTTTTATTTTATAAATTATTGTTATAAAATTAGAATTTGTATAAAGAAGGCGGATATTTTTATTTGATAAAAAATATATATGAATATTTTGTCATCTTTGAATGTGCTCTTGCAAGCATACCTGCAATCGGTTGTTAAACCAGGAATGCTTTTCGCTTTCTCTATCCCGGTATTTGTCGCCACTAAATGTTGAAAGTATACTCCTCCACTAAAAGCATCCCATATAAGTGATGTTCAAAGCTTCTGATATAGTCCGCTGCCAAATTCAGCTCAGCTTGTGGATCTGATAATGCCATCATGATTATTCAGTGGCTTCCATCATCGGGGAGTATGCATTAGTGACTTGGATTGAGAAAAACCAAGATACAGTCCTCTCAAGTCTCGAGCATATCATTTCAACATGAACTGTGTAGATCAAAACCTGCAGACCCACAGGTGCTCCTCCAAAACAGTTGTAGCTCCACCGATTTTCTCAAGCATCCTGCCCGAATAATACTTGCAAGGAGTAGCAAGCAATATTGTTTAAATTTCCCCATTACCCGCAGTCAAAAGCTAGCTTAACTCACCATACAGTTCCAAAATTGATGCACAGGAATGTTCATTCTTTAAGCACTTGCAATCACCTCATCTATAAAGTCTGTCTTTATATTTGCCTGTATGCATGAAAAACTTGAATCAAAACCCTAGCAATAGAAAGTTACATGATTTCACAAATTTCAGTTCGCAAGATACCATGAGCCACTGTCAAATAATATGATGATAGTTTAAAGAGGAAACTTACAGGGGATATCACGATCCATAGAACATACGTTGGTGGCTTGTCACCCTTGCGGATTACCAGCTCTTCTTTCCTTCAGTTCGGCCTAAAGTTTCAGTAAATCAGTTTAACAATCAAATAAGAAAACACGTGTAAGCTTTGCTCTAACGGATTTTAGAAAGTATCACATGCTATTTTCAGAAAACACCGTGGTGAGAGTAAAAATTATTTTGAAAGCAAATTTTAGCTAGCTTGATTCATGTAGTCATACTTAAGAGGTGGTATCCAACAGGTTTGGGGTTCAAATCCAAAAATTTCTAACCCTTCCCCTATCCCCAGGCTGTTGCCTCCTTAGTACTGAAAAAAAATAAAAAATGAAAAAACATTAATTATTTTCTTACCAGTTTGAGTTTCAAATCTAAGATTGCCTGTTGTCGTTGATATGCAAAAAACTTCAAGGACTGATAACCAAGAAAACAGAAAAGAAATCATGGTTAAGCCTGGAAATACAAAACAGAAATAAAATTTTCTATAATCAGTAAAGTTGAGATTTGTGAGAAAAAAATCAAAGAGCTTACTCCGATTCTCTGCAATTCAAAAGACATTTGTAATGCTTCTCTCTTAGTTAAAAGATTGTCAGTCATTAGCTTTGAAGGGCGTCGATAATTTTTCCCTCGGTAGATGATTATGGCGTGACCTTCTTTTAGCTTCTCCACTGAAACCAGAATTCCCCCACTCTCTGCTATAAGCAATTTTGCAGTATAGATAACTCGTACGAACGCTCTCTGCATTGTAATAACCTTGACAACTTCTCTGTGCTTCCAATGTTGATGTACTCCTTCAATGACACCATCAAAGATCCCACGCCTACCTGAACCACATTTAAACAAAAACAAAACAAGGATGTTTAGATCTGGGCAAGGATGCTGAAGGAAAATCAACATAAATCTGGCTAATATTTTCAAACCAATACATCTGAAAGAAAAAAGAAGAATCAATTGGCAACTAGGACAGCCATCTTTCACTCACCAAGCACTAAGCAACTAGTTAGCTTCAGTCCCATCTTCCGCAAGCATTCTCTCTCCTCTACAGTAATGGTTTCAAGATCTACGTCCTGCTCAACAGGTTGCCATAAAGAATTAAACTTTGCTAGTTTTTTAACTGACTACAAGAAAAGAATTAAGATTATGTCAACAAACTTCAGTCCAAATGACATGATATGATGATAAGCCAGAAAGAATTACATTTGAAAGATGAAAACTAAATAGGAGCTTCAAAGCTCAAGGAGGAAAAAGCCACAAACAGACACGAAATTAGAGAGGGAACTTACAATTGACAGCTTGCGTTCTTGGTTTCGCATTTCCCTTTCTAAGTGTTCCTTTTGAGCTTCAATTTGAATATCAAGTTCATTATTTTCTTTTTCCAGTTCTCTATATTTGGCCACGAAATCCAGAAATTCTGATAAAGTTCCTACAGTGCTAGTCTTTGCCAAAGGTTCGTTAGCTACCTGAAAGGTTTCGGCTACTTTGATTCGAACACCTTCTTCAATAAGGTGGCATCTTCTGAGTGTCATTTCTCTCTCCGTTACCAAATTAGCAACGCCTTGAGGAAGGAAGTCCTTCCCCCTGTATAATATTATAAGGAACTTATTCCGAAGTAACAAAACTCCTCCAGTGAGTGTAACCCCCTAGACCCGGCCTATGCGTTTCGACTAAGTCTAGTGGATCACATTATGATTATTAAAGACATTTTTCGAAACCGTTATTCCATCGATATAAAATCACATTATAAATAACATGAAATTATAAACAAATTATACTATCAAAATCCAACTCGTAAATATAGTACCAATAAATAATAATTTAATTTAAAACTTGTCTTCAAATTCAATATCACAATAAACCGAGCAGTATTAGCAAAAGAGTTATCATTATAAAATCCGATATTTTAAAATAAGGTCCATGTCACCAAAATAAAGTCAACTTGCCAGATAAAAATATTACAATTTGATTTACTTCAAGAGATATGTTGATCCTCCAAGTGCTCGAACCAAGGTATCTAACCAACTGTATCTGAAAGGGGAAAACATTTTCAAAAGGTGAGCTAGGCTCAGTGTGTCCCAACATTTCCATAAAATCACAATAGGTACAAATCATAGTCCAGTAATCTCACAAATTCGTAAAAGAGTTTAACTTTTTGAAAATCATAGTTTAAACCCTTTTCTGGTACACCATCAGTAGTTCCCAAAAGTATTTTCCATATAGCTTACTTTATGCACATAGCAAAAAGAAAGCCGACTTAAGGATAGGCTATGAAGCTTGTATCCTTAAGCCAAAGTCAATAAGTCCATATAGCTTACCCTAAGCACACAGCAAAGGAAAGCCGACCTAATGAAACATCTTGGGGCCCTCAAGAGTCACATTAAGCCCAGTTAGCTTGATCAGAGCTATTCCATCGTATTTCAATTCCAAAATTCAATTGCACCGTGACATAAATTCCATAAATCCAAAAACATGGTAATCATATACCATTTCAAAACAAAAATTAGATAGCAGCCATATTCCATAAATTGTCACATTAAATTAGTGCATCCATAAAACAATAGCCAATGAATTCGGTGTACCACATATTAAAACCAATAAAACAGTTCAATAATAAGTAGGGAACACACCTCGACAATAGGTTCAAATAGCAAATTTACTGATTGCTGGTTTCACCACGCTCTGCTACAATTTTCGAACGGGTGAATACTGGCACACGTGGTTTAACTGATCTAGAAGAGCTGGGTCGAGCTGTCGAACGATCCGGAGAGTCTCTTGTACCTTCAAACAATAATAATCTATCAGTCCCAAATCCTATTTAATTGTTCAAAGCTAGTCTTCTTAAGTATATAAGCATTTTTCGAGTTTGACTATCAATTTGGGGTATTTCGAGTCTGAATTTGGCCAAACAGATTGCGGAAATGGAATCAGGACGTCGAAAAATATAAAGTATGACTTTTCAAAAATTCAGATTCTTGGTCAAAGTCAAAGTCAACCACTTTGACCGTCGATTTGGAGACCTTCGGGTTTGAATTTGGAGAAACGGACTGCGGAAATGGATTTGGCACGTCGAAAACTATCAGGATAGGTATACTCGGAAAAGATTTACGGTCGTTTAAGGGTTGGTCAAAGCCACTTTAAGTTTTAGTCAAAGAAAGTCAACGGTCAACGGTCACGGTCAACGGTCAACGGTCAACGGTCGGGTCGGGTCAACGGTCGGGTCGGGTCAACAGTCGGGTCGGGTCAACCCGGTTCAGACCGGTCAAACCGGTTTTCCAGCAGCTCACTCTCCCTGCGGCGGCGCGTGCGGCGCGTGAACAGTGCCACGGTGTCGGAAAATTCCCGGAAAAATTTCTAAAAATTATTTTGAGCGATTCCGAGATACTTACAACGATCGGTTCAAATTTTTGAACGGCGGAGAGCTCGTATTTCAACTCGGCCGAATCTTTGACTGCTCCACCTCCTCACGCGCCGCCGTCGACGGCGAACAAGGTTGACACCGGCGGACTCGAAACGACACAAGGAACACGATGGTGCAGGAGGTGTCGTAAACGGAACAACGATCGGCGGTGAATTTAAGTTTTTCCCGACGATAGAGCTAAAAAAAACGACGATGCTTTGACTGAAAATTCCTTACGTTTGGCAGCGTTTCACTTCAATTAATTTGAAGGGTTTGTTCCTCGCTTGATGATGAACACAACGGTGGTTTCAATTTTACGATTGGACGTCGAACGGCGTCGGAATCGGGCTTGGAAGTAAGGGTACGAGAGAAGGAAAATTGAGCAAATTCTCAATTGTGTTTTCTGATTTACAATCAGAAACCACGCTTAAATTATAAGCCTGCCGACACTCCTTGGAGGAATTCAGGGCTTGGTCCCTGAATTTCCTTCAACTTATAAAATGGCCTATAACTTTTCATAAATTTTAGTTCAGTCATTAAATTTCACCAATTTTCACAATTAACGTCCAATTTCAATTAAATATTATTTTGTAAATATTCGGGTTGTTACAATTCTCCCCCTCTACAAGAAATTTCGTCCTCGAAATTTACCTTATGAGAATAGTTGAGGAAACTGAGCCTCCATTGACTCCAATGTCTCCCAAGTAGCTTCTGAGGGGCCTCGATTACTCCACTGAACTTTGACCATTGGAATTCGCCTATTCCGAAGAACTCTTTCATCTCTTTCTAAAATCTGAATGGGCTCCTCCTCATATGACAAATCTGGTCTCAGCTCTACTTCTTCAACCTGAATAATGTGACCTGGATCTGGACGGTATCGCCTTAACATAGACACATGAAAAACATCATGAATACGACTGAGGTGGGAAGGCAACTCAAGCTGATAAGCAACAGGTCCAACTTTCTTCAGATACGATACGGCCCAATAAATCGTGGACTCAATTTACCCTTACGCCCGAATCTCATACTTTCTTCCACGGTGAAACTTTTAAGAAGACCTGATCACCAACCTCAAATCGTATATCTTCCTTCTCTGATCTGCATAAGACTTCTGCCTATCAAATGCCTCTTTCAAACGGTCACGTATCAATCTGACTGTGTCCTCCGTCTCTCGCACTAACTCAGGTCCCAACGTTTTCCTATCACGCAACTCAGCCCAACAGATCGGAGTGCGACATTTACGCCCATAGAGTGCTTCATAGGGTGCCATACGAATGCTGGTCTGATAACTGTTATTGTAAGCAAATTCAGCCAAAGGCAAAAATTTCTCCCAGCTACCATGAAAATCGATTACGCAACCCCGCAACATATCCTCAAGTATCTGAATCACTCTCTCAGATTGACCATCAGTTTGTGGGTGAAAGGATGTGCTATAATCCAATCTTGTTCCCAAAGCCGTATGTAGCGCCTTCCAAAATCTCAAAGTAAATCTCGGATCTCGATCAGAAATAATAGACAATGGTACACCATGCAATCTGACAATCTCTGAAATATACAATCTTGCCAGCTTGTCCAAAGTATAATTTACTCGCACAGGAATAAAGTGAGCTGACTTTGTAAGTCTGTCAACAATCACCCAAACTGAATCTTTTTTCGAAGGAGTCATAGGCAAGCTAGTAACAAAATCCATAGTAATACGCTCCCATTTCCATTCAGGAATCTTAATAGGCTGTAACAAACATGATGGATGTTGATGTTCTGCCTTAACTTGTTGACAAGTCAAACACCTCGCTACAAAATTTGAGATGTCCTTCTTCATGCCGATCCAATGATACCTCTCTCTCAAATTCCGATACATCTTATCTCCACCGGGGTGCATAGCATATGGACTACTATGAGCCTCAGTAAGGATAGTCTGTCTCAACTCAGCATCATCAGACACACAATACCGACCTTTGAAGCATAGAACTTCATCCCGGTCAAGGGCGTAATCTGAGCTTGTCCCCTGCTCTACTTGCTCAAAGATGGGAAGCAAGGAGCTATCAAAGGGCTGCTTAGCCTTGATCTCATCAACCAAGGTCGGCTTAACTTACAATTCTTCTAACAAAGTGCCATCATCATATAAATTCATCCTGGCCATTAAAGATCTCAACTCTGATACCGTCTTTCGACTCAAAGCATCCGCTACAATGTTAGCTTTACCAGGGTGATAATCAATCACACAATCATAATCCTTCAGAAGCTCTAGCCAGCGCCGTTGTCTCAAATTAAGCTCCTTCTGGGTCAGGAGATACTTTAAGCTCTTATGATCCGTGAAAATATAACACTTCTCTCCATAAAGATAGTGTCTCCAAATCTTCAAGGCAAAAATCACTGCTGCTAACTCCAAATCGTGAGTAGGATAATTACACTCATGAGGTCGCAGCTGACGGGATGCATAAGCCACCACTTTACCTTCCTGCATTAAAACACAGCCAAGTCCTGAGTGTGAAGCATCACTATACACTGTAAAATCCTTCCCGGACTCTGGTTGAATCAACACCGGTGCTTGAGTCAAAACCTCCTTTAATTTCTCAAAGCTCTCCTGTTGTGCCTCGCCCCAGTTAAACGTCACATTCTTCCTTAACAACTTTGTCAAAGGAGAAGCAATGATCGAGAAGCCCTCAACAAAACGTCGATAATAAC